GGGGTCGCAGCCGCGGCCGGCCGCCATCGTGGAGTCACCGAGGTCCTTACCACACACCCCTCAGATGAGCTGGACTGCTCCCGAGGCCACCAGCGGGGCAATGGTTTTGTAACGGATCAGATGCTGGGAGCCCTCCTCCAGGTCAATTGTGTACTCCCTGCAAGAGACAGATGTGGACTGAAGCTGCTGCTTCTTTTTCACTTTACCTACACTAGTTTTGCAGAAACCAACTTATGCAAGTGCACTGCACAGGGAAGGACCAACCTACCTCTGTTCATCAGTCTCTGGCTCAACCAGGATGTTCTCCTGCCTCTCTAACACCCTCAGGAATACAAAGGAGTCCAGGTTGGGCTTTGGAACTGCAGAAGCAATGGATTCAGAGCACACACTCAGCATTCATGTATGCTCCCCTGCAGGACTCTGAGCTAACAAAAGGGTGCTAGGAACAACAAACTCGTGGCCAGTAAAGGGAACATTAGAGGCTTCCGATCAGATGCAGCGCATGCTGCTCCAACATGAGATGACGCCAAATGGCGGCGGCCAACGTGAACCTCTGACAGAAGCACCAAGGGACAGCAGCACCAAGTCATGTACCACGCAGCAGAGCAATGATGTGATACTGTCACTACATTGTGTGTCCTTCTACTAAGTGCCAGCTGAAGGACCAATACTTACACTTCACAGTCCCAAGAGCATTCCCCACACAGCTGCTGCTGCAATTTTCCAGTTACCCTGGAGTTTGGATGTACTCACCTGATTTTAGGAGAGACACTTTCTGCAGGTTAGGCGGCATATGTTTTAGGGCCACGTTTTTCAGGTAAGTCTCTGTGTTTGCCATGTACCTGAAACATATAATTGGAACAACTATTGGTTTAATCAAAAACAAATTTGCTGGTAGAATATTGACTTAGAATACCAGCAAGCAACACCTCCTGGCCTTACAGGCATGGCCAAAGACCAGCCTAATGGCTTGCCTCACAACTGGTCCAGAAGCCAGGCATGATAGAGACTAAGCAGAAAGGTTTTTTTTGTTTTTTTTTTTTTTTTCCACTTCGACTCTTTCCTTGATCATAAGGAAAGCTCCTGGTGAAGCCCCTGATTCTTACTGCAACTTTGTATGCTATTCAGCATAACATAAGGGGGAGTTCTACAACCTGTGCAAAGGAAGGGGGATACATTCAAAATCTACTCACTCTTTAGCAAAAGCAAACTCCTCTGGTGACAGAATGGAAGGCTCCCCTTCTGCTCGAGACTTCTCCTTCTCCAGGACGTGAGGGAAAAACTTCTCAATCTGACATCAGAACAAAACCCCAAAGACTGAAACAGAGCTTTCCTAGCAGTCAGTGCCTAGAATCCTCTCTCCTCAGCCAGAAGCTTCCCCTAAAAGAAGTGATCTATCATTGCACAGGTGCATACAGCAGCCTCAGGCCTGCCCAAATACATGCCTCTGAAATAATAACGATATGGTCCGCTAAGGTGCCTAAGCTGCGTGGGCATGCGTGTATGTGGCAGGACCCAGGCAGAACATGCACGAGTTCAGCTGTGCCAACCTGGGCCTATGTCTACATGAGGTCACAAAACACTCATGCCAATACCATGATCCTCCTTGATCACAATAGAACAAGGAGGTCCCGTGAGTCGTGCTTAAGAAGACAGAAAGAGAGAGCACTTTAACTGAGTTTTACTAAGGGTGTTTAACTAAGCTTTAATTTGCTGAAGCAGGAGGCATGGCATGGGTAAGAAAATCACTTTTGAAGCACCCCTCTTCCTCCCTACTGCAGCACAGCAAGCATTACCTTCACAAGCCTACACCGCAAATAGCTGCTGAGCACGTAACGGATCCTTTCAATCTCCATGTGGTGGATGCTGACCTTCAAGTCTCCTTTCTTTGCTCGTTTCAGGTTTGCCTCCTGCAAGGAAAGGCAAAGAAAAATTAAATTGTTCAAATGCCCAACAACAAGAAACACAGAGAAATGTTTCTTTTCTGTACGCAGGGCCCACAGAAACAGACCGCAGCTGCTTTTAGCAACACAAAGCACCGGTCCCCTGGACCTCTATCACATCTCCCAACCCTCTCTTTGTGAGCTGCTCTCAGAATTGGCTCAGAACAGCCTTCCCTCAGGGACAGAGGAGCAGACGAGCCTGGCAATCCCAGAGGGAGCCTGGCACGCACCTGCTGTGCCGGCAGGTGCCAGGTAACTGCGGCGCCACACCCGGCCCGTCCC